CAGAAGTTTTCAAACAAGTCTGATATGTGGAGTTTCGGAATTCTTCTCTGGGAAATCTATTCTTTTGGTCGTGTGCCGTATCCGCGAATTGTAAGTGATATTGTTCTTCTAAACTGTCATACAAGAGATATGATATATTTTCTTCATGTTATTATTAATTGCAGCCTCTAGCCGACGTTGTAAAGTGCGTAGAAAAAGGATATAAGATGGAACCACCAGATGGATGTCCTGCGGAAGTTTACGATATTATGAGACAGGTATATTAAATTTTTACCTATTACGTTATATTTTGTATCATATTGTATCACATTTTTTACTTAGATGCTATTTAACAGGCATGGGATTTACAGCCAGAAAAGAGACCGAGTTTTCACGATATAAAAGTAACACTCGGCCAATTGAGAGCTGAGTACACCAAAGGCGTGAATTAAGAATTTAATACAACTTAAATAAACTTAGCGAGAACTGAAAAAGCTGGGACTAGAATGTCCGAATGATTTCTCAATTTCAAGACGAAAATAGTGATTTTGAATGTTTCTGTTAGAAGAGAGAGTGACAGGACTTCGATTGTACATTGTATACAAAAAATAGTATTTGCTTTGCTTATATTTATTGTTACTTTAGTTCTTGAAATGTGGAGAGAATTTTAATTTTTATATAATAATATTTTGCACACACAAGCATTACCTATGGTCAATCGTGCCTTTGTCCAAGTTGATGTTCTCGAGCAGGAAATTCAACTTGTACATAATGAAATCCGAATATATTCGGGATAAAATCAACAGATGCGTAATTTGCCTATTACTTAATTTTTCGATAGTCATGTTTGAAGTTTATTATGATTTTATGATTTACAATTTTTAAACGATTTTATGATTTACAATTTTTCTAAATAACTAAAATTTTTTTTAACACATCATAAAAATGACGTATTATACATTAAATTTAGATGATTTGTAACAGGTGTTACATTATATGCTATTCACAATTTCGTCTATTTAATTTTAATCGGTTAGAATTTCATTTTTTTTTGTTGAAATTAAAAGTTGTAAAAGTTTCATTTGCAAAAATATTGTTATAAATATAAAAAATTTGCCTAAGTAATTATAGTTATATATTGCAAGTAATTTGAACTTAAATATTTAGTTGCTTAAGTTCTTTGATCAAAGATTTGTCATAAGAAGTTTAATTTTTAACTAAATTATATTACAATATATACTATTATTTAATTATTTTCTTCGCATGAAATTGACTGCATTAGTGGTGAAAATATATCTGTAAATATTTTTGTATATAATTTTTATCTATCGAAAAAATTTTTCAATTTATATTGGTTGAGAAGATTGATATTGATCAAAAAATATTTTCTTTTTTTTTTCTATACACAATTTTACCACGCTAAAAATAATTATTCATGATCTTATATGAATAGGATATCATTCTATATCATTATTCTTTAATCTATTACTTATTTTTTTCACAAAATATTCTGCCAATAATAATGACGGACTAATTCTGACTTATTACATTTGATGGCCGTATTTCGCTAAATAGTAGATGTGAGTTATGAAAAAGATCAAATATTTATTCTTTAGAAGATATATCAGGCAAATGAAAAGATCTGTAAAATTGTAGATATTAAATTCTTGTATGTCACGTAATTAAAAAATATATTAAATTTTGTCATTAATTAAAAATCAAGATATTTAATGTATATCTATATAATAGTCGTGAAATACTGTGTTAAATTAACACTGTATTATGCGATAATTTATTAAACTTTGGAAAGTGACGTGATCACTCAGTTCCTTGAAATGAAAATTTTCATGAAAACAGAGATTGTCTTGACTGATGAAATATTTCACAACAATAGGTTCGATCTTTCTCTTCCACAAGTGTCTCTTCAGTCTGCGGTTAGACATATTTCTATAAGAAATTTAGAACGTATTTATCCTAAGCATGGTCCGTTTGTAACTTTGATATAACAATATGTACTTGAGGTACACGTATTAATAATGTGTATTAATATGGCTCTAACTGAATTGCTTTTTCATTGTGGAGCTTACTATTTATATGTATTTACAATCTGCTACACATGAGTTCTTCCATTTATAAATTTCATATTACTCATATGAAATGCCAGTTTTATCTCCATTTTGTCTGACATTTCAAATTTAAAACATCTTGTTATTCGTTAAAGAGCATTTTATATATTTATATATATA